CTACTTGCTCGTTTGTAGTAATCTCTTTCGCTAAACCTTGGTGATACTACCATACTAAGTTGTTATCTTAGTCCCAGTTCCTCATTGGCACACATCCGTACCTTGAACCGGATATGACGGCCAAGTTAGTCGGGTATTGAAGCCTCTGGTCTGCTTCTGATAGTTTCAATACCGTCGGACAAGAGTTTGTCTGTTTGACTTTTAGCCTCCGAAATCTGACAGGTATCAGCTAAAACCCTCCGAATGCCTCTGCCTCCTCCGTGTGATCACCAGATGGGAAAGACAGGCCACCCAACACTACTCTATCGCATCTTCGCTGGTAGAACACGCATTTACTGGTTGGAAGTTGGGTTGCAAGTCCCACGGCCTGATTTGGAGCGAGGTTCATTGGCTTTTGTGTCAGCCCCTTCCAATAGTCCAATTGTGAATCAGCCGTCGGCAACGCTACTTCCGGTCCGGCAACCTGGATTGACAACGGGAAACGCATCTAGAACCAGTGGACCGCCTCAGTAGCATAGGTAGTTGCTCTCTTGGATCTCCGCTCATTGATTCCTCCGGAGGTAGTGGAAAGTGGCATGCTTTTCCTCCCAAAGTTACTATGATCTGAATCAGGGGGGGATGTTGTGGTCGTTAGGTCTGCGACGTGTCCGTACACTACAATGTCAGGGACGCCACGAGGTCCAGTCTATAATGATCTAGACGACGCGGCTGGGAGATTTCATCCGAAGGACACCAAGCTGTCTGTTGCAGCTGCAGGCCAAGAAGCGTGTTGTTGATATTTCGGAGGAATAGGGATGGGGGACGCCACCCTCGTAACTGGTATTCCGGGTCTCACCGAACGGCAAGAGGGCGAGGGGCCATTGGTATGAAGAACCATCTGTGTGACCCCGGGGAAGCAGTTTCCCGTGCCGACAAGGTTTGGCTGATACTGAGGGCGTTTGTGCTATTGCCCGTGGACACTCGTAGGTGCTTTGACTTGCCCGTGAGTGACGATGGATCGATCAGCCGTCTACCGAAAAGAGGCAACGGTCAGCAGCACTGAGGCCATGTAAGCTGTTCAGGTCGTTCTCGTATATGTCTCTAACTAGAATTGGGCCGCGGGCAGATGAGGATGGATGAAGGATGGATTTTCTGGAAGAAGGGCTGCAATTCTGTGACAGCGCCATCATACGGCAGCGTTCTGGCTAGTTGATATTTTTACGTTAGCACGAGCTCGATAACTCCATCTCCGACAGCTGTTTCTTTTGTCAGAACGGGAATCATATCCATCCCTTCGTGACAATGTGCCCTACTTCGACGAAAGACTTTCGCCGTGGCTTCCTGACGATTTCATCGACAACCAGGCAGCATCCATCGATCAGAATGTGAGATCCGGTATTCTCAATTATTTCATTCAACACGTTCAAAGGGATAACAACTGCTCAGGGCCATTTCCCGGAGGATAAAGCGACGAAATGTGAAGGGAATGAGGAGAGGCGACCGGGGGAAACCGACATCATCGGAGTCGATCACCATATCCTACACACAAAGTGAGGCAATCCCCTGCTGCCACTTCACTATTGGAGCTGACTGGTAGATAACCGAATTTCATCCTCATTGATTGTGTGTCCCGATGGATGAATGTCCAGTTAGTCCACAAAGACCTTCCAGTCAGTCGATGGCAGAGGCTGGGGGTAGATCGCGACGGTCAGCAGAAATCGAATGGACCTCTGAGCCGGGTGACCTGCCCCGGAAGGTCACCGAGGGGTTCCTCCACAGCCTGGTTGGTGGCAACTATCTAGTAGTCCAGCTAGTAAGTAGGTGCGAATCGGCCGACGCAAGGATGGGGACGGCGGTTTCACATCGGTTCATCGTGGCTGATCACTTGCAGTTTTCCTTTCTCGACCCCCTCCCATCTCTCCACGAGCTACTCACCCCCGGCCTCAGCGACGACGATCATTGATGGAAGAACCATCGTCCATCTGTAACAACAAGGTACAAGGACCCTCCTCGACGGGATAAAGAGGGACGAGCCGAACGTGGGACACGCGGTCTCCGTGGGTGCCGCTCGCTCACGGCAAATGCAAGTTTCACTTCGGGAGAATGGCGGCCATACGCGACCGGGAGGCGACATTCATGTGCAGGACATCCGACACGGACACAACGGCCAATCCTGTGGCCGCTTGTTACATCGGCGGACCAGGCAGATGAGCGAGCGAGCGAGGCTTCGACCTGGGGATGAGTTCACACGGGCGCGGGGGACGGAGTGGGCCTGGATGAACCCCCGGGTGCGTCGGGGAGATAGCTCTACACTGGCCAAAGAAAAGAGGGATCCAGCTGTTGCCACTGAAGACATCGTCGGAATGTCGTGGCATAGCCTCACTTTGAGTAATAAGATTTTGTAGCCGGTAGTTGCCTAACTATGTATGTATGTAGACTTTGTACCCCAGCCTTGGCCTTGATGGTCGGCAGAGCTGCCTGATGAGAAGGTGGGAATTTCTATTTGATCATCTACAGTGGGTAAGCAGACTTGATAGGAAGATAGATAGTGCGATTATGTTCAACAGTTAGTACATAGAAGGGACGTATCTGGAGAGTGGAGAGAGATACAGTATCTATCAAGATACATACTTACTCATACTCCGGTTTAGGGCCAAGACAGATCCACCGGCAGTGGTACCGGAGCCGGGCCGGGTTCCTTTCCGGTGGTTGGTTCGGGTTGAGGTTGACCATGAGGAAACACATCGGGATTAGTACTTAGTCGTAAAAAGTATGGGGAAGAAGGAAACAAAGGGGGGGAGTGTGACATTCTGATCCAATTGTATCATGGAACATCAGGGAAATGGGGAAGCGACACGAGCTAACTGGCGAGCCCGTCTAATCCCCGGAATCCCGAGCTGGCTGGTTTGTCTTGATCGATCGTTTTCTCGGTGTCTCTCTTGCTTCTCCTCTTCGCTTCCTGCCTTGCTTACTGTTTGGTTCCGGGGATAACCATCGCCAAGCCCTAGCACACTTGTTCTAGAAGGCGGGAAGGGAGAGCTGGAAAATTGAGAGGTAGGCAGTATGGAGTAGTACTAGTACTCCTGTCTACCGGCTATCTATCCAGTTAGATCACTAGTGCTCGTGGGTAAGGAAATGAAGGGTCCGGCTAACCGGCCAGGAACCGGATCAACGACCAAACCTTTCAACATATACTCACTCACCTTTTCCCTTATCAGTATATCAAAAGGGCATTATCAACCTTCCGTGTAAAAGCCGGCGATAATAATTATGAAATTCATAATCACCTAGTTTGGTCATATCGCCATCATTTCCCCAGAATTACCAGCACCCTGGCCCTAACCCTACAGACTAGCATGGTTCCACGTGGTTGAGATAGAGGAGCCAAGGAGAAAAAAAAAAAGAAACAAAAGGAACGCCAATGCAACAGTTCATTACACACTTATTTAATTCATGTTGTTAGTTGTATAGTGGTTACTTTGGTTTCGGTACACTAAGGAAAAGAATGTAGCTGAAATCAATGGTCCGGTGAAGGTTAAGAGTCCTTGTCCAGATTCCTGTCAGATCGAGGCCCATTGTTGAGTCAAATCATTGACCAAGCGGATAAGTAAACCAAAAACAATGAAAACCTCCCTTCGCTTCGGCTGTTCATATATTCATTCCATGATGGACAATAATTATTTGGAACCATTGCCCCTTCATCGCCCAGATCCTGACTCAGCAGCCAGCGTCTGCATTTCCTGATTTGGACTAGTGAACAACCCTTTTCAGTTAGATTGGTTCTCGAAGCCAATCAGAAACATCCATGGGCCCCTCTCACATTTTCCTCACTACTAATAAATTCTTTTCTCTTTTCAAATTGTTTTCGCCTTTTTGTCCGTTTTCGTCAATTTGCCTCTTTTACCCTCGCTTTTCTTGTTATTTTTCCTCCTCTTCATTATCATGATTACTATACATGGTACCTCTTCGGTTGTCATTATTACGATGAATAATGATTCATAATTGGTGCACACCGTAGTTCTAGAAAGAGCAACAGGAGATAACCAGCCTGAAAATATACACACTATTACCATCAGGTACACCGGGCTACGTAGAATCCACCAGCAACGGGGGCATCTTGGTTTGAAAGCATACTTTTTTTTCAGAGTTCTTACCGCAATCAGATATTACACCAGTACCTACCTACCCATGGCACATGCATAACCGCAGCATTAGTTAGCCTGGTAGTCTAGTTAGCAGTCTAATAATTATTAAGTACGTACTAGCATTTGGAGATGATGGATGATTGATCAGGAAACGCCTGGGGTGCCCCAAACTCTATCCGCTTCGATGTTGCGACCGTCACCTCATGTCAAACAGTTCACCGTCATGGATTTCTCCAGGTAACGACTTTCCGTTGGAGTGATCAACCCAGCGGGTGGTACTCTGGGGGAAATCCAGCCCGACTTCTCCAGTGTGATTCGCTCTGCCTTCCCAACTGAACCACCGGACAGGCAGACTTAGTCTGCCTTTAACGTAAGGAGATTGATTATCGGGCTCGGGGATGGCTCCACCGCGCTGTGGCCACGGGCGAAACTTCATCCTCGTTTTTCCTTTTCCTTTCCCCCCCACAATCTGAGCGAAATGCAGAAAAAGCCTAAACCCGCAGCTTCTTAATAATAACCAACGGTAGATAACTATTTGCTACGTGCTAGATACTACGGTGCACTCTACTGCTACTTTGCTATTTAGTCTACTAGTCAAGCAAAGGCCAGCCCATCCTCCACTCCCCGTCAGCCCGCCCATAATACGTATAGCCCTCCCCCGGTGTGTCTGTCTGCGGCCCTCCGCTACCATCAAACTTTCTATCTTTTTTTTTTCTCTCTTTCTTTTCCCTTTCCCTTTCTCTCTGTCTTGCTCTTGTTTCTCTCTCCTCTCTTCCCTTCCTTTTTCTTTCCCTCTTCTTAGTGTAGCGCCTCTATCTTCTTTCCGCTTGACAACTTACAACCACCTCTCCGCTCCGCTCCCTTCTTCATCTCGCCATGGCTCCCACTACCCGGGATCCTGAGGCTCTCGCCGTCCACCACGACTCCGACATCATGGCTGATGAGCTGGCCGAGAAGAAGATCTCCGCCCATGAATCCCCCCCGGAAAATGACCCTTTTGGCAATGAGGAGTGTGGTGAGGTCAAGTACCGTGTCATGAAATGGTGGCACTGCGGTATATGTAAGGTTCCTCGGGGCTTCTCCCCAAACCCAACCTCCATCAAGAGTAAAGGAACACTGTCTGAACTGAAATGTGACAGTGATGATCGCGGAGAATATCTCCCTGGGAATTCTGTCCCTGCCGTCGGCCGTGGCGACTCTCGGAATTGTCCCGTGAGTGCTTCCATTTTGTCAATTTTCATTCTATTCTGTACCCTCGCTAATATGCTTCGTTCAGCTCCATTTTCCTCATCTTAGGCTTGTCTGGCATTTCCTGGTACACTGGCTATGTCATCGGCCAATTCAAGCTGCGCTATCCCCAAGTCCACAGCATGGGTGATGCGGGAGAAATTCTCTTTGGCCGCATTGGCCGCGAAATCCTATTCTTCGGCCAATTGCTGTTCTGCATCTTTTTGATGTCCAGTCACATTCTCACTTTCACCGTGCTGTTCAATACCATCACTGGTCACGGCACCTGCACCATCGTCTTCGGTGTTGTCGGTTTGGTCGTCAGCTTCATCGGTGCCCTGCCTCGCACCATGGGCAAGGTGTATTGGATGTCTCTTGCCTGTATGTCCAGCCCACCCCTTCTTTCGCTGCTTGGTTCTCAAACCGAGACTGACGACCTTCTCAACAGCGTGTACCAGTATCACCGTTGCCACGATCGTCACCATGGTGGCCATCGCCGTGCAAGCGCCTGATCATGTTCAGGTTGACATCACCACCCATCCTAGCTTCTCGACCGCTTTCCTGTCGGTGACCAACATCGTCTTCGCCTTCAGTATGTCCTTTTGCATTATGTTCTCTCTGCTCGAAGCGTCCTTCCTAATCCTTTCTCTGCAGTTGCTCACGTGGCCTTTTTCGGATTTGCCTCGGAAATGGAGGATCCTCGCGACTTCCCCAAGTCGCTGGCCATGCTGCAGGTCACCGATACGACTATGTACATCGTCACCGCCATGGTCATTTACCGCTACGCCGGTCCGGATGTTGCTTCCCCAGCTCTGTCCTCTGCCGGTCCGCTGATGAGCAAGGTTGCATACGGCCTTGCCATTCCTACCGTGAGTGTCTCCTCCATATCTCGTTTCCATTTTGCATACTAATATACTCTCGGTGGTAGGTGATCATTGCCGGAGTTGTGTTCGGTCATGTCGCGTCCAAGTATATCTACGTCCGCGTCTGGCGCGGCTCCCCCCAGATGCACACCAACAGTCTTTCAGCTGTCGGATCGTGGGTCGCCATTGCACTGGGCGTGTGGGTGATTGCTTGGATCATTGCCGAGTCGATCCCCGTGTTCAATGATTTGTTGAGTTTGATCGTATGCTTTTCCCTTAGCCCCTGAGGTGCGGTAAACGTGTTGTCGCTAACGGATGTTGTGATGGCAGAGTTCTCTCTTCGGTAGTTGGTTCAGTTGTAAGTCCCCCTTCTCACCTTTTTCCCCTTGTCTGTGGAATTCTAGGCTTATCGTTTCATCTCAGACGGACTCCCTGCCATGTTCTGGTTGGTCATGAACCGTGGACAGTATACTGCCTCGCCCAGAAAGATCTTCCTGACCATTGTCAACCTCGTCATCTTTGCCATTGCTTGCGCTATTGTATGTTGTCAACCTATTTATTCCCGTCCTACCATTGTACATGGATACTAACAAGACCAGTGCGGCTTGGGTCTTTACGTCTCTGGCAAGGCCATTCACGACAGCTCTTCCTCTGCGAGCTGGACGTGCGCCAACAACGCCTCCACCTAAGGGCGGGTTGAGTCCTTCGGGGACCCGGCGGATTCCTCACGGGATCCACCCTCGCCTCCCTCTCTGCTATTCTCCCAGATTGAGCTGGGCTGTTCTGGGATGTTCAATATTGCGGTGTTGGAATTGGTGTTTGATGGGTCATTTTCGATGAGTTCCGAGGAATGCTTTTTCATGTCATGATTTTGTTTTGCGTCTATGGTTTCGTTTTCTCCTCTAGCCGGCATCTACTCGTACCTACTACCTGTCTGTTCATTGCATGTTATTTCCCTCCCCCCTGTGTACGGAATGTATATACAACTGCTGCCATTATTACTACTACGACTATGACTACTACTCTATCCTGGTTGGTCCACTCGGTGGGTGGCTACTGCTGGGTGGAAATGGATGCAGAGATTCTCTGCGGTGCATTGCATTGCGTCGCGAAAATTTGGTTCTTGCATTTGGGCTTAAAGAAAACAGCGCGCGAGTCTTTGATACATCTAGAAATATAAACTTATTCACGATGAAGGGTTGTTGGGCACTAGGGCTGATGTTACTATGAAGTACTACCTTGCAGGTTCCGCAATTTGTCCAGACTTGTTCGGATTCTCCTGTTTCCAACGACCTTGTTTTAGGCTTCATCTTAGCGGTACCTAGCACGCCACCAGTCCAGCCGCACCCGATGAATAGCCGCTAATACACCACAATGGCTGATCTCCCACCTGATCCTCGTAGCAGCAGGCGTCCTTCGGTGCTGCTCCGACTGGCTGGTCCTGAAAGCATTGTCGGCGCCGGCCACAACCCTAATTCGTCTGCCTGACGGGCAGTTTTGTTAGTGGAGGGTTCAGGGACATATTTGGGGCACTAGTAAGTCTGGGCAGGGGCAATGGTGATGGCGGATTGGAGGAGTGAATTGGTGCCGAAGCCGAGTGGGGAGCTATTTCGTTAGTGGGTTGGTTACCCGGAACATCGTGCATGTGAGAGAGCATTCAGGGTAGAAGCTGACAGAGATACACACTCACCTTGAAGATGGATTCGAGTTCAAAACAGCAAGGTGTCATTGTACTTTGATGAAATAGAATCAACCTGCAGCTTCAGCATAAGCGACAGAACAACCCTCCGCAGATTACATGCACAGATTTAACTCATCCGCACGCCAACCCTCACCTTCGTCTCTCTCTCTCGTTCTCTCCCATATGCGCGCAGACCAAGTGCATCCCTTCCGCAACATGCCGGGTGGGTCGCTGTCCCACTGAGGAAGAACTGTTCAAGACTTTAAATAGTCCCCATGGTCCAACGCAAGAGAATTGGTCATGGAAGCTTTTCCTCCACTTGTCAGGCCATGTCTCGCCGATGTGCTGATTGACAAAGGCGTGATTACTGGTCCAACTTTATAGCTAGCATTTCCACCCCCGCCAATGCGGCGTCGCTGCCTGTGGATTATCCAGGCAATCGTCCTGCTAGGTCTGCTCGCTGCATTTTACCTCACACAATTACAGTCCCAGGCGCTTCTACAGCAAGACCCTGGCACGATCAACCCTCTCAAGGTTGCCATTCCACAGACAGTCCACCAACTCTTCATCTCGACACCAGGATCCCGCGGATCCAGCTTCTATCTGGATAGACATAGCACCTCGTGGCTCCAATCAGGATGGAAAGTCGAGTACTGGAGGGAGTCTTCCTGCTACGAACTCGCGCAGGAACTCGATGATACTGGGTCATACGCAGCCACATTCCAAGCCCTACCCGCTCCTATCCTTAAATCCGACTTTTGCCGCTACTTGATCTTATTCGGGCGGGGTGGGATTTACAATGACCTCGATGTCCACCTTCTCCACCCGTTGCCGTGGCCAGTAATGGGTGCAGTCAAAGATGGTGTTGATGAACCACCCGCTGTGATTGTGGGCCTGGAGGGCGATGCCGCCACAACTGGCCTGCCTCGATCTCCGCAATTTGTTCAGTGGACCATGGCATCCGTTCCTGGTCACCCCATCTTTCGTGACGTGTTGCAGTCCATTGTTGACCGCACAGCCCACTATATCTCCACTCAGACTGCAGAGGCTGGTGCGGACATCGACGTGATGAGCTGGACCGGTCCCAGTGCGTGGACAGATGCGGTGCTAGGATATCTACAGTGCGATGATGAGCAGGTTCAGCAGCTCCGCGATCTTCACGAGGTGGTTCGCGTTCGCGACGTGATAATTCTTCCGCGACGATCCCTTGCTGTCCTCCAGGGCGAAGATCAGACTGCACCAGATGTTCTGGTTAAGCATTATTTCTCGGGAAGCTGGAAGACGTGTGCTCGAGAATGGCTTCGCTGGCTGTGGCCGGGGGTTTGTTAACTGCTGCAGGTCATAAACAAAGAAAAGAAAATGAAACCCCGGTGGATTTAATGATTATATTGGTTTGAGAGTACTTCGATTACATTCGTAGTTATACAATCGTCTCGCTCGTCATATCAACTGATAGCGGGTCATATTAGTGGTGGCAAGCCGTCGTATGGTCGCCTTCCTCAAAATTCGTGGACAAGAAAGCGTATCCTTTTTTATTCCTCCCATTTCACGATGTCACTCGATCAAAACATCTGATCGGATACATCTAGCCCTCGATCAAGTTCGTCCGCCTCCTTGCGCAGTACCTCCGCCCGGAATTTTCGGAAGGCCGTCTCGATTCTCTGCCTTCGATCGGGATCCGCCGTGATGCAGCGACTTCCACTCCAAGCTCCTCCCAAAAAACCTACAGTGGGGTGATTACTTAGTAGAAGCCCTCTAAATAGGATATTGAGATCGTTCAGATGCAAAAACCTACCAAGTTCGCCGCCTAAGAAGAACCCTCCCGCGCTAGCAAAGAAATAGGTGGTGAAATCACCCAGGGTGGTGGGTTTCAGCAGGGGGGTGATATCTGGGATAGGCTCTGTTTTGCAACAATGTCAGTATACAGCATTCTAGTAGAAGGAGCACTGGAATTGGTGAATACCAGAACGTCCGCCGGCAAAGACAACGTGGGTAGGCTTTTCGCGGGCGCGAAAGACCTCGAAGAAGGCCTTGCGTGAACTTCTTAGACGGAAAGCAGCATAGAGTCCGAGACCGAGACCAACGGCTGAGCCAATTGTCGTCCACCAGGCGACCTTTTGTGTGGCCGTGGTGAGAGCGTCGCGGTCTTCAGAGCGCAGGTCATGCTGCAGATGCTCCTCCGCCAGACGGGCGAGCTCGTTGTTGCGGCGATTACGAAGAGCAGGGTAAAAGTCGGGCATAGTGAAAATGAGATAGGGGTGATTATAGACAAGGTGTCACTACTAGCATTGGAGTATAGAGAGGGATAATGATCAGTGACAGACTTTATAGGGGATGGATGAGGGTGTAAATAGACAAAAGCAGGGCGGGGGCAGGACACGTGATGACGTCATGAACCGGGGTTTTGTTCATGATGATCAGGTACTAGTTAATGTGACATTTTGTTTGTCAAACATGCTATGTTAGATCAGAAATACTCCAGTCATATCACTGAGGGCCTTAGTGAGCCCAACTGTCGGGGTATCGTTGTTGCCAAACTTGAACTCTGTGATACAGAGAGTAGTGCTGTCGAATATATATGTTGGTCCTAGTGAACCCTTCCTGCAACGATTGACTGCGGAGTGGCGTTTTAAAGTGTCAAATAGTTTGTTTTGGGACTCCGTTTTGGTTCCCCGTTCCTAGTTGCTAGTTGCCAGATAAGGCTGTCGCGGGCAATTACTGACATACTCCAGATATATAAAAAACAGAGACCATACTAGTAGTAACTACTACTTAGTATAGTTTCGGAATACAACAATCAGGCGATGAGGCACCAAGGCACCAGAGCGGTGGGGAGTTTCTGCCAGTCCCGTGACCGACGTGTCACGAAGTCAATTAAGCCGAAAATAACGAGTTGACCAGTCAATTTATGATTTACGCGACGCGTTTCTTGATCGTCAACTTTCACCGTCTTTCTAGTTGGCAGCTCAGGTACAGGGACTAAACTTGCTTTTCTCTCTGATCTGGTGCCAATGTTCCCATCTTGGTTGTCCTTCCTTTCCATCTCTATTGTTTCGGCGGCCTTAGGTGCTGCTGGTCCCGTTACCTCACTTTCCTAGTAACTATTCTTGAACACCATGGTTCACATTCAAGACCTCCCCCGGGAGCTGCTTCTGCAGATTTTCTCCTCCGTTGCCCATAGCAATCCTTCCAACCCACAGGATCAGACCACCAAGTCTCCGGATGAAAGCGCCAAGACCCAGTCCCAACAACCCCCTGCCGATAGACTGTTCCCACGCCCTCCTTGGGTCGCCGAGGATGAAGATGATGAGACTGATGAGACTGATGAGGAGTTTCCGGGGACAATGGGAAGGGAGGGAGCGCACAGATCCAGGAGATCATCGACTTGTACAATCTGTGTCGGGTGTGCCACTTGTTCCGCGAACTCGCCCAGCCCCTGCTGTTCGAGCATGTTGACTTGTCTGGCTTCCCTGGCGATCTGCGAAACCTCGTCTCCCTCACCCGTACCGTCCTCCGCCGTCCCAGCCTAGGCGAACATATTCGCAGCCTCTCCGTCCTTCCAGACCACGATCATCATGTCTTTCATCAAAGCCCACAGCCTCTAACCGCCAACGACCGAAAGCTCTTTACTTCATCCATACGTGATCTCCGCTTAGACAAGGAGGACGAGCGCGACTGGATGAGTGTCTTGAGGGAAGAGGAGTTCGACTACAGTCTTATGGTCGTCTTGCTTATCCTGAAAGCCCCAAACCTCCGCATGTTGACATTGGCGGGAGGTTACTTTGCCATGAAGCCACTCGAGCAAGCTTGGAAGCGCCATCCTGCCATATTGTCGAAACTTGAGGACCTGTGGTTCGAGGGCGACGACCTTCTCAAGGGCTACCCGCTCGCTTTTTATGAGGAGATGATCAGTCGGCTCCAGTTACGCTCGATAGATATTGAAGAAGCCCACCTCAGTGACGACCTGTTCCCCGCCTGCTGGACTCCACAGTCTCTGACCATGAGCCGGATCGGCCTACACCTCTGCCATATCGATGCCCCCTCTGTCACCAAGTTACTCCGCGCATGCCGCACAGTGACCTCCTTCACTTACGACAACTTTACCACGGACCCTGAGGACCAGCCTCATAACCTCCGCCCCGTTCGCGAACCCACCGCTCCCGAACTAAGCGCCGCGCTCCTACCCCACAAGGACACCCTAGAAGGCTTGACAATGACCTGGAACCGCGAACCCTGGGAGCGAGAGAACATCCAGGATTATGTGGCCCGCCAGGCGAAGATTGGCTCGCTGCGCGACTTCTCCGTGCTCCGGCGACTGACCGTCCAACAAGCTTTCCTGCCGCCGCAGCCCCAGTTTCCTCCCACACTCGAAAAGCTCACTGTCGAAGACTGTAACATTTCGGTCCGTGGTTTGGCCGAGCATCTGGCCCAGGAGCGTCGCCAGGGACGCCTTCCCGCACTCAAGAGCGTCAAGATGCTCGCCGTGGACATCACCGACGCCGTCAAACTCCCGGGTCAGCAGATCCCATTTGGCCAGACACCGGAGCAGTGTTGTACTAGCATTAAGGACATGTTTAAGGATACGCCCGTCGATTTTGACATCCTGCCTTATCCGGACTGTCCGCAAAATATCGCTGGCGACTCCGACCTCGACGACTACTCTGATGATGACCCCTACGATATGACTGATGAATATGGCTTGCTGGGTCTCCGCGAAGGGGGAAACAGCATATTCCAGGCGATGCTCATGCAGGCGATGCAGGCACAGGGGGACCATTACATGGATGATGAGTTCGACGAGTGAAGATGATGTTCACGAGTAATTTGGAAAATGTATCACCTTCATAATATCGATATTGACTAGGCTGGATCTAGACTGGGCTGGATTCTCTCAAACTTTCGGATTGTTGATGGGCATCGTTACAGGCGATGGGAAATCTGGCACGCATCTTTCGGAAATCAATTTTGGCTTTCTGGCAGTGAACTTTCCTTCGGCGGAGCAAACTTTTCAGGGCAACATGATTATGGGAGTTGCAGAGAGCCAGTCTTGTTCCTTCGGGTGCAACCATACACGCCACACAATTCACTTACTGCAAGGCCCGTCATTGCCTCCGTTTACACATCGACGGCATCGTTATCATCATCATGGCAACCTGTCGACACGAAGATAACATCGATAGTATCCTCGTTGTCCTCATTCCAGATATAATCACCCGAGACCTTGAGACCGCGCTAATTTGGCAACGGAGACGGAGGCTCAACCTGAGCAATCTCTAACGTCACAGCAGTTCCTCCCTGAGGACGCTTATGCGCCGGATGTCCCTTGAACTGCAAATAGTACCAGTACCCGCCGAAGCCAGGATAAGTGTAGCCGCCTAGATTGGTGGCTACCCAACTGCCCCCATTCGTCTGGGGACTGCCCTGCGGATCCCAGAGGAAGAACTTGCCGCCATCGCGCACTGCATAGTTCCAATATGCATCGGGGGGGGGGGGTTTGGGAATGACCGTGTGTTCCAAACTTGGAAGGTTCGTCGTGCGCTTCCGAACTTGTAGTAACTGTATACGCCGCCGTCTGAGCCGAGTGTCTTGCCGCTATTGACATCTTTGATATAGTAGCATTCACCGTAGTGGATGCCTAGGCTCCTGGTGGCTGGCCATTTTTCATCCGCGAGGGTGTATTCCACATCGTCAGGTGGCAGTGGCGTAAGATGAGCCAGGGCAGGAGTGACCGGTGATTGCAGTAGACTCGGCTGGAGGGCTGGGTAACCGTAGACCTGCTTGAAGAGTGCCGTGGTCGTAAGGACAGTCAAGGCCCGGGCCAAGAAACTAGACGTGATGATTAGGTGTAGATGCAGGTTGCAGTATAGCTGCTGAAGTACAAGGGCGTCTGGAAGGCACACACCCAGGAGGGGTATGTGGGACCTGTGATAAGCACATGCTTATATAGCAAGTTAAACCTTCTGCACCCTGCTGCGAACATGGACAGTGTGTCGTAATCGTCACACCATTGTCTGGAGGACCGTGGATGATGCGCAGGTTACCTGCCATTGATTCTTTGGGCAGAGGTTTGCCATAGTGTAACGAGACTATCGTAGGCGAAGTATAAAGGCTAAGTTAAAGTTAAAGAGCTATATGTACTGGCTAATGCTGTTGCAGGGCTGGGAATGGCTGAGTTGGAGAGGCAGGTCGGGGCTGTTCTGTTGACAATGTGACTACGATGGGTGGACTGGAAGGTTTAAACCTAGCACACTTGCACTTCAGACCCGAGTCTCACATGCTCGCAGAGCGCTTGCGAGAAATGCTATGCGGCGTTCAACCGATGGCTTCGCGGGGCGATTTGGCAAATGTAATAGCAATCACATCGACAGAAGGTCTCGCAAGGCCACAGAGACGATATTGACAGCAGATCATCGGCGCAGTATCATGGAGTCGACCTGCAGCTATCCTGCACACCAGTGTAGGGTTATTGGGTGGGGTAGAGGCTCTTAAGGTTTCTACAGGTGCAACAGAGCTGATTTACAGTTTACAATCACCCGATTGTGACGACGCAACCATAGGTGTGCGTTTCTGGGAATCAAGAGCAATTCCCGCACGAAGAACCCTGTCAGATGTTGGGATTAAAGGATGGCACTTGCGAGACTGTAGTATCCCATTCCCAGGCCGCCCGGAGAGAATTCTGTGCATGGGTGGTAGTTAGTCCATGGATCTGCTCGGTCTTGAGCAAGATATCGAACAGGGCCTCTTGCTCCCGTCTATCGGTCATGCGATCACCACCTGGTATTTATTAGTCAGTCAGAGAATCTCTTTGCCATGAAGAAAAGACAGCATACACATGGATACTCCCATGCAGGCGGAAACGAGTGCTGGAGCGGTTTTGTTAGAGATGGCTATCCCACAAAGACTGAACACATGGTGCTTGACCTCAGCCTATCGCAGTTAGCGATCAGACTCGACAACCAGCGAAGTTGTACATGCAATACCTCTCTTCGTGCGATGGCTGCCTTGCGACCAGGCCCAAGGCGGGGCACTGTAGGGTCAAATACGGCCAGGAGAAGACGTGCAAGGTGCCAATGTTGAATGCCCGTGACTGTAAGCGTCGTCAGTGTCGATACCTCTGACCTTTGAAGTCTACCCCTCACCGATGCAGTCATCCAAATACCACAGAACGGGAAATATCCCCCCCTTGGCAGTGTTCGGAGGTGGACAATACAAAGGGTCGAAGGTAGATGGAGTCCGAGCTTGCCATTGCTGGTTGTAGGCACACAGTTCCTCATATTGCGACCGAATCTGACCTTCCTCGCCATAGCAATACCGGAGCACATCGACACAGTGCAGCACCACTCGATTCGCCCAGGTGGGATCGTCTGTAGAATCCAACTGTCGATAGACAGACCCGTCACAGCAGCTCAGATCGAGCTCGGCGACACGCTGTTCGAGGAAGGCCTTGTGGAACTCTTGTCGGATGCCAACCCAAAAGGCCGCTAGTTGGAGTCCGCCACAGCGCAATGCAACGTGGCCCTGAGTGTTGAGGAACACTTGGGTGCCACGCAGATGGGTTTTCCCGTCAACGCCAGCCAGGGCCGCTGTGGCTCGTGCTTGTTAGCAATTCAGACATAGAAATGCAGGTGAACGAACCGACTAACCGTCAAATTCCTCGTAGAAACGCAGGATGACGGACGCGGCCAGGAGGTCCACATTATGAATTTCCATGTCATCTGCTGACATCAGATGGGAAATGCAGAGAGACTGGTAATTGAGGGCCATTCCATCCCCAAGATTGGGGAGATGTCTCCCCGCAAAGGCGACCGGGCGGGTCCCTGTGGATTGCCAGCGGCCGAGGTGTCGTGCAGCTGCCGAGTAGACAGCGTAGAGCAAGGCTGGACACTGGGCCGCGCGATCGGGCATTACAAGGGCAAAATGTTTACCAGCATCGCAGGAATCGAACTGCATTCAACATTTTCAGGGGTCCTGTTGCTATTGAGGGTTGAGGGAATAGACCTTACCCATGGGGCCAGCTCCTCAACGAAGTATCGCATTAGGCATGCCTCCTGCACGGCCCGATCGGACCATATCGACGGTTCTGCTGGATGTGGAGAATTGTCCATCAGGCTGGCATTATATCGGTTAGAATCTAGTAGACTTTGCACCGCCATGGCTGAGTGCTCTGTAGTAAGCCGTTGATCCTGGTCAGATCGCAAAGGGTAACTGGCGGGGTTATGCGGGGTGAGGTCACGGGACCATGATTCCCCCCACCAGGTTGACATTTCAGGGACCATCTCTTGTTTGAACCACTCTCTATATTGTCTATCGTCTATCGTTATGTATCTATGGTCTATAAGCTCCCGCTGTCCATTCACAACCGGGAAGAGCTCTTCAGCTTAGCCTCCAATCTCTGGCCGATCTGTGGCTCCACCCGGCTGAACATGGCAATCGTGGCCTTCTGGATCTCCGGCACCACTCCCTCCAAGGCTTCCGCCACGTTGTTCACCCAGAGGCTGCGCTCCGCCTCATCGAACACGTTGTTCCACAAGGCACGGGGCTGCACAAAGTCCTCGTCGTCAACGGGGATCTCGTTGAGACCCAGCACCGCGCCGGAGCGCAGCCACTCGTGGTGGCGCACCTCCTGCACCGACTGGCTGAACACGCCAGGGGTCAGGGTGCTCTTGATGTAGTTCGGGTCGCCACCGTAGTTGCGGCCCATGGTGGCCAGACCGTCACGCTCGTAGGGCGCATACACGGGGCAGATGGCCCGGTTGGGCGGCAGCTGCGTGTAGTTGACTCCCAGACGGTAGCGCTGGGCATCGGGGTAGGCGAACATACGTGCTTGGAGCACTACAGTGGGTTAGTTCAACTCCGCATCTAATACACGAACTGATGGAGGAAAGCTTACTAGGATCAGGGGTCACGGCGATACCCGGCACCAGGTTGGAGGGCGAGAAAGCGGCCTGCTCGATCTCGGCGAAGAAGTTCTCGGGCTGATTGGTCATCATTAGCACGGCAGCACTATGAGAAAAGTAGGACTGTGCTCAGAACACTACTTACGTTGCGGTTCAGAGTCATCTCGCCGACCTCGATCAGAGGGAAGTCCTTGTGCGGCCACACCTTGGTGATATCAAAGACGGCGCGGCCGTAGCTCTCAGCCTGCTCGGGCTCCATCACCTGGATGTAGAACTTCCACTTGGGGTAGTCACCGCGCAGGATGGCCTGGAAGAGGTCCTCGTTGTGGAAGTCGGGGTTGACACCAGCCATGCGAGTGGCCTCCTCGGGGGTGAAGTTGTGGGAGCCCAGCACAGGTCTGAAGTGGAACTTGCAGTAGCGGAATTTGCCGTCGTGACCCACCAGCTTGAAGGTGTGAATACCGAAGCCGGTCATGCGGCGTGCGGACTGGGGCAGACCGCGGGAGCCGAAGACGTGCATCAGGGTGTGGACACTCTCAGGCTGGTTGCTGTGGAAATCCCAGTACTAGATACCCAGTTAATCGGCAAGGTCGACAAATCAGGATGGTGGTCTAAAGAGGTTGAACTTACCATGTTCATGTCGGGAAGACCGGTGGTAGGGTGCCTCTTGTGACTCCGGTTCAGGGAGGGGAAGCGAACGGGGTCACGAACGAAGAAGACGGGCTACTACAGGTGAGACGATGTCTCAGAGGTCCACGAGAAACGAGTCAACTTACCACATGGTTGCCGACAATGTCGTGGTTGCCCTCCTCGGTGAAGAACTTGACGGAGAAGCCGTGCACATCACGCACGGTATCTGCGCTACCCTTCTCACCACCGGTGGTACTGGCGCGGAAAAGCACCTTGGTGGTCTTGCCAACTCCGTTGAGGAACTTGGCGTGGGTGAGGTGGGAGATGTCCTTGGTGACGCGGAATTCACCCCAGGCACCATTACCCTTGGCGTGAACAACTCTGTTGAATGAATTGACGAGGTTAGTGGACGAAAGTGCCGATGAGCGGTGGGTCAGCCGGAAGGGCGGCCGTACCTCTCCGGAATCCGCTCCCGGTTGAAATGGGTCAACGTCTCGATCAGCAAGGTATCACCCAAGGTGGTGATGGCACCGCCGCCAAAGGTCGGCAGGGTGGTGCTGACGGAGGGGTTGGGCAGGGGTTGACCTGGAGGCACATCGTTAGAGGAGACATTGGACAGATGAGAGAAAGGATACGTGTCACCTACCCTCGGCAAGGGTGTAGACGGGCTTGGACATGATGATGGACGTGAGATTAAAGTTTCCGGGAATAAGGGAGGATGCGCTAGTAAAGCTATCCGCGAGGAGGATCCAAAGGGGGTCAAGGAAGATGTCCACAGAGCCGGCTCTGAGGGATGGGGTTTACGGTGCACACGAGAAGAGGAAGAAAAGAGTCACTGAAGACAGAAATAAAAAGAAACATCCTGACGCTGAAAAGCCCCCAAGATAAAAATTTTCCCTCCCGGCCGCCCTTTAGCGCCAAAAGTGGATGAGGCCGTATCTAGGACCCGACGGTTGGTGACAGCTCGACACCCGCTGGGCCAGATCTAACTGCTAACAGTATAAATTAGATAACTCGGGCCAAGTTTAACCAGTTTAGGGCTTGTCCCCTCATGAGGGGTGAGGGGTTCGTCGGCCCGTGAGGGGTTTCTTTTGCGTAAGTTTGCTTTCCCGCCCCTCCGATTGGTCGGTGAGCCGGAGCCTCTTCTGTAGTCACATGACGGTCATCAAGCACGTGCCCGGCTCCCATCCGAGGAACTGCCGAGAAATAATCAGCGGAAGATAGGGAAACGGGAAGATAAGGTATTCGAGATACAGTGGACAAGCCAGACAGCTTAATGTGATTTGAGATATTCGTGTCATATCTCTTATATGATAGGCAAAGATCACTAGCAGTATCCACCGAACTCAGTAGTTTGCATGCGGACAGCCCCTGAAGTTTAAAAAACAGAGTCCAAGATATATGTTCACTACCTCACGAGTTGAACGATTGGCTTATAATTATAGCAGAAGTA